CCTCGGCACTGAGCATCCCCCGGGGAGCGGTGCCCGGGCGAGGGGAGCGCCCGGCCGCCCCAGGGCTGAGGATGGCGGCGGTGGTCCTCAAAGGGCACGACGTGCCGCAGTGTGCGCTGCCTCCCTCGGTCCCGCCAAGCTCAGCATCCCCTCAAATCAAAATGAATGACTCTCTAGACCTAGCGTTGGGGCCAGCCCAGATCTTAAGCCTCCCACCGTCATATCCGTGGCCTGACTTGACCCATAATGGCACAGTCTCCCTGCTGCCAGTGCCTCTGACAAGGCGCTACCCAGACCTTGCGGGGGCCCAGATCAGCAGAGGGAGCTGCACGGCGCACAAGGGCATGCTTTCCGGGGGGCTTGGAGGGGCACGTTTTTTGCACCCACAGCTCCAGGCACAGAGGTGCTCTGTTGCCTGTCATGGGGCTGTTAGATTCCCTTTTTCCCAGGCCCAGTGATGTTTTCACTTGTGGCACTTGAAGAGCACCGTCTACCTGCTCCCTTGGGCAGCCCCGGTTTTGCATGAGACCAGTCACACAGAATGGGGCCAGGCGTGGGGACACTGAGGCCTCCTGCTCAGGCCAGGGTCTGGGCCAGCCTTTCAGCAAGACAGAAAAGCTAGAGCCACACTTCTTTGCTCCACTGTCCTCCTCTGTCTGTGGGTTTGTCTTGTTTTTTCCTTGAAGAGGGGATGTTCAGACCTTAGAGATGACCGCAGCGAACCCAAACTGCCTGTTGCTGTCTCCTCTTGTACCCAAAGGACAGGCTTAAACTTGTCTTTAACCCAAGCTAAATACCACCAGAAAGGCTTTCTTTCCCTTATAAAGAAAAGAAATCAACAAAAGATGCCAGTAATATGTGAAATCCTTCCTTTTCGTTTTGAAATACTGTGGTCGATTTGTTTTCCTTCTTCTCCCAGCCTTTGAAAGTGACCATTAGGAAAAGGCCTAAAATGTCAGAGGTGCTCCTTGCCATGGAACCTCTCAGGGCTGCTCTCGGCTGCCAGCCCTGATGGTGACATGGCTGTATGGGGGTCCGGCGCTCTGAGCCAGCTGAGATCTCCTGGAGGCCCCACTGGACACGAGCTGGGGGCTGCCCAGTCTTGCAGCCTCAGGGCAGTCTATGCTGACAGACTGACTGGAGTAGCTGCCCCTGGGGAAGCTCAGCTGTCATCAGCACGGAGTGATGGAAACAGAACTGAAGGAGCTGGTGCCCAAGGGATGTTTTATCCTTGAGAGAGGCTGGTGGGGGGAGGCTTTTAGAAATGCCTTTCCCCTCGTAATGCTCTCCAGTTGCCTAAAGATTGGCTGTCGTTGTCCTCCCATCCTCGCTGGCTCCTTCCCCTCCTGCTCAGCCTTGCTGCAGGGACTCATGCATCCCTTCTCCACAAGCTTTGCTTCTCAGGGAGGCTGGAGGAGAGGGGGGCATGGTGCCATGCCACACAAAGCCTGCGGTCCTGGCCCTGGAGTCAGCAACTTCTGCTGTCCCCCATGCCACAGCTGCTTCCTCTCTCACACAAGATGTTTTCTTTGTGTCTGGTAGCTCCATCCCTCCAGTCTGTCCCTGGGAGAGCGCAGTGGGATGTGAGAGCTGGAGCCACTCTAGAGAGGTGCCTGGTCCCAGGGCTGCAGGCACCGGGTTTAGGGTGATTTTGGGACACGTGTGCATTAAGGACTGGGGGTGCTTTGCTGGTGCACAGCCTTGCTTCAGTGAGAGCTTTGCATGACCTCTCGTGCCACCCGCTGCGCGTGTGGCTTCTCCCTCTGACCTGTGGGCAGGTTTCAAGGCAAATGCGAGCCTGTGCCATACCTGGGGCGCAGTGCTGGCGTGTATTTGATCGCCATCCGTACATTTATGAGGGAATCTCATGTTTCATCACAAATTAACGAGGCCCAGACATCATCACCGCAGTGCAGACACCTACGCAGTGGAGGATGCTGCGCCTGTGCTTTCCCCGGGAACAGTGCGTCCAGGATGTTTCCGTTTGGCAGGAGGCGCAGAAGGATACAGGACTGCCAGAGCACGGCCGCTTCCTGACGGCGTCAGCCTAAATTTCAGTAAGCACATGGAGGTCTGCACTCAGGGCTAGGAGCCTGTCTTCGAAACACGAACTACTCGTGTGACCCCAGTGCATGCAGCGTTATTGGAGAGCCGCAGGCATGGTGTGTGCTGTGCCATGCCATCAGGATGGCTTCCCCGTGACCGGGAAGGATGAGAGCCAGGCTGTTACTGGAGATGGAAAAGGAGCCAGGCAGGCCGTAAGGATGGCTTTCCATCCCCCACCGGCTCCCCAGCAAACCGCAGGGGTGGGATGCGCACGTTTGCTTGGTGCAGGCAGGCAACGCGGGTATTTTGGGAAAGGTGGGTTGCAGCCCACCGGAGAAGCCCCACGTGCAGGACCTC